CTTGAAGGATGCAATTTTGTTTGACAAAATGCAAAATCTTAGAATCTCGATGCATGGATAGAATGAAAAAGTCATGCAACGTCCGTGCTACATCGAGCTGGAGCAACTGGAAATGATTGTGAAGACACTAGTTAACAACTCTTAGGAATTACTGCTCTTCTCCTTGTGAAGTTTTGACCATAGATAAAAAGCATGCGCTTTAGGAAAAGATTTATGCATGGAAGTAAAAGAATTTAGATGTTTCAATAATATGAAAGAGAAAAGAAAACTCGTGCGAAACATCTGCATAGGATCGTGTGGCCTCACCATAGGCAAACATGGCTCCAGAATAGACACTTGCAGCATTTGGCACTCTTTGCACACACTTCACCGGTCAGCAATCCTGGGGACCTGCTCCTGGAAAGCCTGCCATGGCTGCAGGCATACCTCGATTTACCCCTGTCATGATTCCAACAACGGGAGCACCAGGCATCATAGGATCACCACAATCAACACCAGCAGGACCTGTTCCAGGAACAGCTTCAGGTTGATTTAGCAAATGAAAAGTGCATGAAGAAAAAGCAAAATGCAGTAGAACCAGGAAATGCAGGAGTGCTGACCGGCGGTTGAATGTCTGAAGAGTAAAAACAGAAACAAACACTGTCAGTTGTTGCTTCCAGTACAAAAGCAGTATGATGTTTTGTTCAAACTTTTTCACAAGAAAGTAGCAGTGCAAATCAGTCATAAGAGAGGGATGACTCGCCTGCGATTCGGATGCTGCTTGGCATCCATTGAATGCTTGCTCGGCGGTGCACTGAAGCCCTCCAGTTCTGATCTTAGAGAATGGGGAAGGAGGAGCAGCAGCTAAGCTAGTGGATGTTATTCAAGCAGCTTGGATGTGTGGCTGTCTGTAAGCACCAGCAAGGAGCTCAATTTTTGGCTCCTGCTGTTGCCATCACAGACCTACATTCACACCCACAATGACACTTACACCGGGCTGCGGGGTTTTAACTGAATGAATGGAAGGGATTGTTTCAGTAACTCTCTATCTCTCTCTCTATCTCTCGCTTTTTTGTACTGAAAGTTTCAGCAATGCTGCATTGGACTTAAAATTTCAGTGACATGGGAATAGATAGGCTGGGCTGGCACATCACTGTAAGAACACCCACAGGGAACAACTCAAGCTTGAGAGAACTATTTAGTACTAGTTTGCATCCAGAGACAACAACAAAAAACTTGTGACACATGAATGAATCAGTTTGACCATCTTGTTTTGAGACAAACCAAATCCTTATCTTGAAGAAGCAAGAAATCCACATAAATAAGAGCATAATAACAGTAGCACACGTACGACACAATCGCACTAACTAAAGAGTCCAATCAAGCCATTCTCTTAGCAGAGAGGAACCAAACCATCAATCAGGCAGTGACAACTTTATTATTCTACAGCAGTCAAGTCTGGTGGTGGTGAGCCTCCCTCGTTTCAGAGCACCGGGAGGGTGTCGGCACGGATGATGTGCTTGAGCAGGGCCTTGTCGTCGTCGAGCCTCTTCTTCTCGGCCGCGTCGCGCGGCTTCACCTTGCGCTTCTCCTCCAGCATCCACTTGTAGACCCGGCGCTGCTCTTCCTCATGTTGTTTCATGTTGGCTTTCATGTGCCCTCAACGTGCTCTCTAACCACGCCACCTCTACCCTTCTACTGTATAACTGAACTGCGAGTTATCATCACAAATAAATTGCCTCATCGGTCGCAGCTTCTGATATTAGTTATAAGTTATCAACTGCACTCGTCCTCTTCTTCACCTGTTGTTGAAAAACACAGCTCCGCAAGCTATGATCACTATCACACCACGCACACCCTGCATTGCCATTTCATTACCAAGGTTATATCATTGGTAAACTCTCAATAAACGAGCATCGGCAAGAGGAGAGATCAATGCAGTGAGTATATACTTACCTGGTTAATCAACCATCCATTCAGCACCGGGAAACCATCAGGCCACCGCGCCGCGCCGTCACCTGCGCCCTGCTCCACAAGTTCATGACGGTGCATATCAGGACGGATCAAGTAGCAAGGAGAAGCTACAAGCAGTAAAGCACCAACATCATGCATACAGCTAGCATCACACCAGTTTAGTTTTCATCATACCTTCCCCAAGTTCTCCATCGAATTCAGGTGCTCGACGTCAACAATGTCTTTCAGCTGCCTGCTCGCAGTGGTGATGCAGACGTGCGGATGGCTGATCCACGCGACGCTAGACGTCGCACCACAAGGGTTCACCTGCTGCTCCGATGAGTAGGTGCCAATGGAGCGACGCCGGCGCTTTTCCGCTGACCGCTTCTCCGAGCGAATCATGTCGCTCGCTCCTGCGCTCTGCCTGGAGCTCCGTCTTCGGCTTTCTTGTGTGTTTGACGGGCCGGTCTTTCCAAAAGATGTGCTTGGTTTCTTGTTACCGATGATCATGGCTTGCTTCCCTGGCCTGGGACCTGTCTGGATGCGGCCTGGAGCGTCCACTGATGCACCGGGAGTAGGAGGCTTGCGTGAAGGGTTGGTGGAAGTCTCTGAAGAAGAAACCGACGGCATCTCTTCCAGCGAGCTCTCTGATCTGATCCTTGGCACCGAAGGCAGACCCTGCAGGCCATGCAAACTTGAGAAGTCGGTGTAATATTATCTGCATTTTCTTCGGTGTGTGACCGACAGAATTTAGGCAACAAGGCGATCATTTCTCTGTATAGGGATGGGTTCTGAACCTGTGGGGAGCTGCTTTCGAAGGCACTTATCATCTTCTTCACCGCGCTGCTTGATCTACTCTTTGGTTTACCCTGTCCTTTCTTGGAATCGATGTCGATGGGACCTTCGAGCGTCGAAGTATTACCACCAATTTGCAACGGTAGGTCCTTAGAAGCCACCATGTCAGAATCTACACTTGTTTCGGAGAAGACGACCCTCTTTTTCAGATCATCCAACGACATGCTCTTCCGAAGCGTCAGTCGGTCATCTTTGCTTGGGATGCCGGGGATATCTTCTGCATGCTCTTTAGGCAACGGGTTATCTTCTGATAAAATTTGAAAGCCATTTGTAAGAAACAGAGCTCCTGCATGGTGTGCATATCAACTGCATTTTAACTGGTGACTAATTTTCTGAACCTTTCATTCAGGGAGCACACACACACACACCTAATGCTCAATTTGTTCCATGGAATTCCAAATGTGCGTTTAAAAAACTATAATTTATAGCAAATTACCTTGGAAATAAAGTTCATCGCCATTCCCAAGCAGCTCTTGCTGCTTTCTTTTCATCACAGAGTTCCTCTGAATAAAAAGAAACAGTAAAAACACATATGCTATATACTTTAACTTAAACTGAACCTTTCAAGAAAATTATATTTTAAAGCTTTCATGGAAACAGCATAATAAACCATAAAAGAAGCATCTCACCATCTCTTGGATGCGCTTGCGGTCTTCATCGCTGAGAACAAACTGCAACTGGAGAATAATTGTCCCTCCACTATCAAGAGTAAAAACAGCATCCATGGTTCCCAACTCAACAATCAACTTTGTCTTCACCTCTGTGATGATTTACAGAAAAATTGCGACGCACGTCAATTGACAGGCGTGCAGATGATAAACAGAAGAAAGGCGTGATGAACCAACAACAAACAAACCTGTTTTGGATACCAATTCCTTGTCTGCATTGTACAGCGTCATCACCATGCTATCGCGAATCGATGTAACAGGACTGCACATATTATCATCTTGGTGTGAGATACATTCTCGATGCGCATTTTTGTGGAATTAGAAAGGTAAAACGCAAGTAAAAACCAGCGAAAGGCGATATGGGAATGGGATTACAGGGAGAATCCGTGTTGCCCTATGTCTCCGGCGTACTCTTTTTTCCCTACATTAACTGCATCCAAAATGATACGACGACATTAGCAAACAGGAAGTGCGATGGAAGTAACGGGAAAAGTAGAGTGAAATCAGAAGACACCCAACAAACCTTGCAAGAAGAGTGGGGCGGTGACCGGCGGCTGAATGTCTGCACAGCAAAAGCAAAAAACGAACACCGTCAGTTGTCGCCTCCAGCACAAGAGTATGTTATTTGATTCATATTCAAGTTTTGGATAAAAGTATTGCAAATCAGAAGAGAGAGGGGGGGTGACTCGCCTGAGATTCGGATGCTGCCCGGCATCCTTGCTGAGCGCCTGCTCGGTGCTGCACCAGAAGCCCTCCAATTCTGATCTTGAGGGTGAAGGAGAGCAGCAGCCGAGCTAGTGGATGTTATTTGAGGCAGCTTGGATGTGTGGCTATCTGTAGCCACCAGCAAGGCCTCCTGGGGCGAGTGGAGGAGCTCAATTTTGGCTCCTGATGTTGCTATCACAGTCACAGACCTACATTCACACTCATACAGACACTGACCACACTTACACCGGGCTGCAGTTATTAAACTGAATGAACGAAATCGTGCCCCGGGCCAGCTGCAGTTCCTTAGTTTCTGTACTGAAAGTTTGAGCAAGAGTGCATTGGATTTAAATTTTGCTGGCATGGAAATAGATAGGCTGGGCCGACAAATCACTGTAAAAAACACAGAAGAGAGAAAACTAAAGGAAAGATAAACCGACAAGAAACAAATCAAGCTCGCTACAGAAAACCAGATTGCATCAACAGAAGACAGCAAAAACTTGTGACACATGAATGAATCAATCAGTTGACTATCTTGTTTGAGACGAACCAAATCCTTATCATGAAGAAGCACAGGGCAACACAAGCAACAAGACCAGCCTGTCTGCATCCACATAAATATAAATAAAACAGCTCGAGATGGGCCTCTCGGCATCGCACTAACTTATATAAGATGATAATAATAACAGGACCACACGACACAATCAACTAACTAAAGAGTCCAAGCAAACCATTCTCTTTAGCAGAGAAGAGAGACATGAGGCAAAGCAATGACAGACGCAAGCAGCAACATCGATCAATCTGGCGGTGAGCTTCATCCACCCATCCACGCATCCGGTCTCAGAGCACCGGGAGGGTGTCGGCGCGGATGATCTGCTTGAGCAGGGCCTTGTCGTCGTCGAGCCTCTTCTTCTCGGCGGCGTCGCGCGGCCTCACCTTGCGCTTCTCCTCCAGCATCCACTTGTAGACCCGGCGCTGCTCGTCCTCGGGGATCGGCGGGAGCACCTTGGCGGGCGTTGCCACCGGCGGGTCAGTGGACTCGGCGGCGGCGGCGGCAGACGATGTGGACGCCGTTGCAGTGGCGGAAGCAGAGTCGGCGGTCTTGGCCGGGGAGTCCTTGTAGTAGGTCCTGACGAGCACGTAGGCTGCAGGTTGCCAAGCAAGAGTGATTAATAATAAACCAAAGAAACAAGCTGAAACCCCATGGGGGAAATGGATGGATTGCAACAGTGGGAGGCCGCCATGGCCGGGCATCTTGGATCTCTCCGAGAGAAGAACGCGGAGTAGCAGTAGGGGAGTGAGATCGGGATGGGGGTACTGACCGCCGACGAAGGCGTTGACGGCGAGGAGGAAGGGGAACATCCGGCGCATGAAGCCCTTCTTCGCCTCTGCCGCCGTCGGCGGCGGTGGTGGGGGCGGCGGCGGCGCGGGGGCACCGGGCGGCTTGGGCTTGGGCTTGCCGTGGGCGGCCATGGCGTCCACAAGAAACAATCAATCAGGGCAACAGAAGAATGGTGGATGTGGAATTTGGTGGGGGTTCGGGAGAGAGATAGCGAGAGACGAGATATCGCTTTCCTTTCCTTGATTTACTTTCACCGCTGCGCATCTGCCAAGCCAAAGACTCTATCCAGCTCCCCTATCTATCTGTCTGTACAGATATCGCTTTCCATCATTCATTTTCACCGCTGAGCATCTCGACTGAACTGGATGGCCTATCTGTACTGGAGCATGGAACAGCCAGCCGCTCAGCTCATTTCCGTTTGCTGGGACGAATGAGGTACAAGTAGATAGATAGATAGATAGATCCAATGCAACGATGAACTCTTTCAACCATTCACTGTCGCATTTAATCAACTTGTTGTACCACTGTCATAAGTTAAAACGACAACAAATTTATACAGTCACTCAAGAGACACTCTGACTCTACCACCAGCCAACAAGCATAAGCAGCAGCAGCATGTACAGCCTTCCGGTTATCATCCGTCCATCCGACGAGACACGGAAAACAAAACTCCTCACCTCCTCCTTCCTCCTCCATCATCATACCAATCTATCTCACTTATCTAGACTGCAACCAGCCGACCAACCTCAAAAAGGAGGGGTGGCAGGCAATGCATTGCCAAATCATCATCTTATCTACCACCTAACAACAAAACAGCAAAAGTCGGTTTGTTCAGGACCACTGTCAGCAACGACTTCCGTTCCGTTCCGTTCCATTCCATACATCGGTCCGACACCTGACAAACACACATCAAACGTCAAAACATCAGTTTCCAAGATAATAATGCATCATGGATTCTACTTCGATATCTCTCAGCAAGTTGGTAGGGATGGAAGCGCATACCTGTACAGTAACTTTGGATTTCAGAGACAAGGGATGCTCCATGCATACGACCAGCCGGTGTCGACATTCCATCAGCCCGGCCCTGGATTCGGGGGCGCATACATGCTGCCCGGAGCACCTGACCCTGGGTTTGGGGGAGCATACATGCTGCCTGGACCAACCGGTCTCTGCTGGAGCTGAGGCTGCTGCTGCTGGTGATGCGGAGGAGGCAGGTGCGGCCTAGACAGCTGCTGCTGGTGCCACGAGCCACCCACCTCTTGTCCATGCACAGGCACCAACCCGCCCGAAATCTGCCTCTGCAGCATGCCTTGGCTGGATGATGTTCCCCCTGAAATCTGCCTCTGCAGCATGCCTTGGCCGGATGATGATCCCCCTGAAAGTTGCCTCTGCAGCATGCCTTGGCTAGACGACAATGGCACTGAAGTTTCGTTCCCGGCAAAATTGTCCTTGGGGGAGCTGAGCGGCTTAGATGTCGATGTGACTGCAGCTGGGTCATGCGCTGAAAGCCCAGGACTGCCTGCCTCTGAACTGTGAGATGTAGGCGTAGCTGGAATCGCCTGACTGTGCTGGACTTGGTCCATCTGTGCGTCCATCCTAGGGTCGGGCTTCATTTGGAGGCTTTGTTGCATCATCATTCTCTGGATGTTGTTCTGTGCTGGATTCATCGGCCGCTGCTGCGTGGTCACAGGGTACCTGGAATGGAGTGGGGGCGGTTGTGCAGCGAAGACGGTGTGACTAGGAGGACCCTGCACCAAGCCTTGGTTACCGATATTTGGAGGCTGCTGCACCGAGGCATATAGCTTATGTTGATTCCCAGGCTGAGGTGTAACCGGTTTATTACCAGCCGAGGACCCTTGCCCGTGTTGCATCAGATTTCTGTCAGGAACTTGTTTCTTGGAGGCTGTAGGAACAGCACTGGGTGGAATTGCGTCGGCTGCAGGAGTCTGAGGTGCCACCGTGCTGTTTCCTCGTCCTAGACTCTTCATAAGCTTAGCTTGTTGACTAGCTTGGTTCCTCTGTTGTTGATTCTGCCTAGGCTGCTGTTGACCCTGCTGTTTCTTCTGCTTAGGTTCTGTAGCATTGGCAGGTCGATTGGCAAGTGCAGAGCTATCTGTTGGGCTTTGTGCAGACTGCTGCTTCTGATGCAGTGGTAGCGCAGAAGGGGTTGAAGTGACCGGAGATGCATGGTTCTGCTGCTGAATCTGCGGTCCGTTCTGCACACCAGGTACCACGCCTGCTACAGGAAGGCTGTTGTGCTGTTGAGACACCAAACGGTGTTGATATTGTCTTTCCTTAGCCAGCTGCATAGGCATAGTAGAATATGGCTGCTGCTGTGGGCTTGGATGGCTGGTTCCTTGGGTCTGGGAAAGATGCGGGTTACCCAACATGTTCAGTGGTTGTGACATCTGATGTGGCCTTTGGGTTTGCTGAAGAGGCGAAGAAGCTGCAGCCTTGGAGAATGATGGATTCATGCTGCTGAAATGGGCAGCTTGACTATTTCCCTGTGAAACCTGCATGTGGTGCTCCGGCCTCACCATATGCTGCTGCTGACCAGGCTGAAAGAAAGAAAGAGAGTATCCCATCAGCACTCTGAATCACGTTGATTTTTCACAACTGACAAGTTTAGTGGTTTAAGCTTAATAGTTCGTTTAGTGAATATTGGACAACAGTGACCTTAACCATCTAATGTCAAAGTTGCATGACTAGTAAATAAACCTTGTTTTAGTAGTTGACAGTCATGCAGTGTAAACAAAGGGCAGTCCTACCACTAAGGCATACAAGTGTTTCAAATAGCTGTCTGAAAATGATATGAGCAAATATTTCATAAAAAGGTACTTTCATTTACTTAACCAAGGGAATATTTTATAAGCAGGCAACTAGCGACTCAAAACATAGCAAATAACATGACCTTGACATAACAGAGACTATGCAGGTTTCAGACATGTAGAGACTTGTCACATAATTAAAATGGCAGGACTGCCCTTTGTTTACAAAGTTTTGTAAAAGAAAGCTTGTGCAATAACAAACAGCAAGCAACACTCGTGAATCTGAACTTAAGACATACACAGCTTGAAGGATGGAATTTTTTTACCACAGATAAAAAGCAAGCGCTTTTAGGCAATTGTTTATGCATGAAAGTAAACAATTTAGATGTTCCGATAATATGAAAGAGAAAAGGAAACTCACACGAAGCATCTGCATAGGATCGCGTGGCCTCATCATAGAATTTCCAGCGGGAGACATGGCATTTGGCACTCCTTGCACACTTTTGAGTGGCATGTTTCCTGTCGATGCCATATTCAGCATTCCTGGGGAACCAGCTCTTGGAAAGCCTGCCCTGACTGCAGGCATACCTCGATTTACCCCTGTCATCATTCCAACACCATGAGCACCAGGCATCATACGAGCACCAGGACTTGTTGCAGGAACAGCTCCAGGTTGCTGAAGATTTCTACCACTGAGCATTTGATTATACTGAATCTTCTGTTGCTCATCACCCTGTATAGAGGCTGGTCTAGGAACACCGTATTTCTGAGAATCCCTGTAGCAGAAATTGCATGAAACAAGAAAAAACATTGTAAATTAAATTTATCGTGCACATATAATATCTGCAATTACTAGGAAGGATACTTGAAACATTTACCTAGAAGGAGCACTCAGTGTTGAAGGTGGCGAAAAGCTGCTGCCCAGAACCATACCAGGAGACCCTGGTAACCTCGAATTTGGATTGGGAGTAGGAGTGGTAGTAGGACCAGAAGAACCATGTTGATTCGACAGTGTCACCCCGTTTGCATGAGAAATCTGGTTTCCGCTGCCAGGTGTGACTGTATCGAGGCTCAGATTTACATCACAAAGATCAAGTGGCCTGTAACAGATAGACAAGACCACAAAGATAAAATGACAGAAATTAAATAGCATATAAGAAAGGAAAAATCTTGGCAATTTCCTGGAAGTGAGATCCAAACAAGAGTTCAAAGCAACAATCACATACATCAAAATGCCCCCAGATAAGTTGTTCGGGCATGCTTGTGTAAGTGCAACAACATGAGAACTATGTGGTAGTACGATCGGCTTCAGCTCCCGGCTATTAACCTAAGGCAGAAGAAAAGCATGAAGATAAGCAACACTGAAAAATACCAGTATACGTAAGAGCAGCAAAACAAAGGTATGTGAATTGTATTTCACAGAACATAAAGATTATTCTAACTATTGTAAAAATACTAGTGCACTGAGAAAGTCCACTAACGTGTCATATTATAGCTGTTATTATGCACGTAAAACAAAGACAAGCATGATTCTAAAACTAATACAATATGACGCAATAACTACCCGACTTCACAAAGAACAAGAAATACCAAGATTTACTCGACCTCCACTATAAATATAACTTAAAAGTTACAAAGATAGTTACATTATACCGCTAAAGTATGAGGCCTTGAAGAAAGATAGAAGGCGAACCTGTCTACGCCTGGATAGCACTTTTGGCATGAGGAGCATAATTTTTTCAAAATGTGACTTCAGATTCTCTTCCTCAAATGGTCCTTGAAGTCGCTGGAACAACTGCCTGGCACTACCCTGATGGGCATAAGAAGATCAATGTCAGATAATTGAAGTCTGTTGTGCTTCCTCAAAAAGAAGAATATTTACCATAGCCCATAGATTGAAAAGGTAAGTATCAAAGAGACCATAGCCCATAGATTGAAAAGGTAAGTATCAAAGAGAGAACATTGAAGGTCTAACAGCATATCTGTGTACTCTATATATGTGCTCCCTGTCAAGCAGTAAATGCTATTAAAAGAAATTATTAACATGCCTGTGGAATGCCAGGTATGGTGAAATGATACTGTTGAGATGAACCAGAGTCTTCTGCACTGTCAGCACCATCACCAGAACTTTTATCCACAAGAACCCTATGGCGCTCTTTGCATTCTTTAGGTTGTCTATGTATAGACTGCATAAATAGGATACAATTGAACTCATAAATTTTACTGCTGCTTACATAAAAAAAGGGAACTCAGAAAATGTATTTATGGAAGAATAACAGTGTCTAAAATTATTATGATAAAATTTAAGACCACGGAATATAATCTTTAGAGTAAAGAAAAGATACAGTTACTGCAAAGAGTGA